GGGAGATGGCAGCGCAGCACCACGCTTCAGGCGTGTAGCGGACGCCGGGAGGCCATCTCGGTGTCCGTCATCTGACGGGCAGCAGGCAGGGTGGAGTCGTTGGATGTTGCGCAGCTGGAGCACGACGGTGCGGCTACAGTCCGGAACAACGTCAGAGCAGGCCGAGGGGGGATGCGTCGACCCTGCATCGCCCGGTGATCGCCGACGTGGGCCCGATCGCCCACCCTGGCCAGGGCCCGTGCGGATTCTCTACATCGAGGGCGCATCGGCGATCTATCTACTCCTCCTCCTCCTCCTCCTCCTCCTCCTCCACCTCCTCCTCCTGCTCCTCCTCCTCCCCAACCTCCTCCTCCTCCTCCTCCTCCTCATTCTCCTCTCCCTTCTCCTCCTCCTTCTCCTCCTCCTCCTCCTGCTCCTCCTCCTCGGTGCTCCCCCCCAGAGCCCGTCCTCCGCTGACGTTCCGGGACTTCAGGGACGGGGGCCAGTGCAAACGGGGATCCACCAGAGCGCTGGATCTTGCAGGATCCTGCAGAGCCAGGGGTGCCTTGACCTGGGTTTGGGTGCAGGATCCTGCAGGATCTTGCAGGATCTTGCAACGCCTGACCGACCCCGGTTTGCACCGACCCCGGGTCAGTGCGTCCCCGAACGTTCGCCCTCCTACAGCGAGGCCGCTGAAGCCAGGACAGCACTGGCTTCAGAAAAGGGGCTCTGGCGGTCGGGCCGCTCCTCCGATGCAGGTGGTCGGGAGCCTCTTTGTGGCCGGGGCTCGCCGTGGCCCCTCGTCCCGACGAGCCCGACGACCTCTGGTCGGGGGCGGCCACGAGGGGTCGATGACTAGGGGGGGGGATATCACGGCGTGGGCAATGACATCTCCCCAGATTTCATGGCGCCTCCTCTTACCTCAATGCGTCCCCGATCCCCCCCCCCCCCCCTTGGGCCGCGCACGCGCCGCCCGCCGTGAGCTTCGTCCCCGCCCTCTCGGACGCCCCCCTCCTTGGCCGCCCCCGAGAGGCTCGCCGTGGCCCCTCCCCCCTTCTCTGGTCCTCCTCCTCCTCCTCCTCCTCCTCCTCCTCCTCCTCCTCTTCCTCATCCTCATCCTCATCCTCCTCCTCGTCCGGATCCTCTTCCTCCTCCTCGTCCTCCTCCTCCTCCTCCTGCTCCTCCTCCTCATCCCATCCTCCTCCTCCTCCTCCTCCTCCTCGTCAAGATCCTCCTCCCCCTCCCCCTCCTCCTCCTCCTCCTCCTCCTCCTCCTGCTCCCCGTGGTATGGCCCGACCTGCCGCAGGAGGAACGGTGTGTGGGGGGGGGCGCGTCGAACGGCCGCTTGCGCGGCCGTCCTCCCCGAGCTCCTGCACAAGGGCGAGACCGAGAAGGACGCCACCGAGTACGTCAACATCCGAGGCGCCCGCGGCCTGCGTGCGTGCCGTCCTCCCTCGCAGGTCGGCGGCCCCTCCGATCCCAGGCGCTGCACTTCCTGTTTCCTCCCTGGCGACGTTGCCCTGCTTCGGGCCCCGGGACCGTCACAGATGGTTCGGGCTCGGAAGATGCTGCCGAGAGGTTGATTCCGGTCGCGATTCCCCGTTCTGTCTTTTCTGTTGTTCGGAGCGTCAGATCTCAGGGTACGGTCTCAATACGGAGTGGCGGTTGTTCGAAGCCCCCCTGATTTGTTGTCCTCGGCCCAATGTGTGGTTGGGTGATCGCGTTCTTCCCTTGTGCTGATGCTGCCTCCTCGACGCTCCACAACCGCCCGCACGGTGTATTGCGTCGGTCTGAACTGCTTTGCGGCCACATCCTGCGGTTCTCAGGGCCACCACGAGGGTGCGCAGTTGGGCGGGCCTCGCGCTCCGCGGTCTGGGCGATCTCAGAGCGCGGCGCGAGTCCCTCCTCCTCCTCCTCCTCCTCCTCCTCCTCCTCCTCCTCCTCCTCCTCCTCCTCCCCCTCTTCCTCCCCCTCCTCCTCCTCCTCCCCCTCCTTGGCTCAAGTCCTCGGCCTCTGGGGGCCGAGGACACCACAGCATTTCACTCCTGGTCAGGTCCAGGATCTTGGGGCTCGAACATTTCGCGTTCGCTTCCGCCCCCAGAGTTTTTTTGATCATTCCCCACCAGTCTGCCATGCCTGCCACTCTTGCGAAGGAGCACCTCTCCATCGTGATCTGCGGGCATGTCGACATCGGCGAGAGCACCGCCACCGCCCGCCTCAACTACGACCTGGGCGGCCTTCCGCAACGCGAGCTGGAGAAGCTGAAGGAGGAGGCCGTCTGCTTAGTACCAGGCCCCATCGCCTTCACGTTCTACATGGACCGTCAGAAGGAGGAGCACGAGTGCGGGGTGACCAGCGCCTGCACCACCCAAGACTTCTACACCGAGAAGTGGCACTACACAGTCGTCATCGATGCCCCAGGCCATCGCAAGATCAACAAGGTCGCAAACCTGCAGAAGAAGCTGACAACATGGGCAGGTGAAAGGGCTGCAATGTCAAGTACGGCAAGGACTGCGCCACCCACAGATACAAGCAGTTCCGCTATGCCGAAATCGGAAAGAAATGAAGTTCATGTTGGTCAAGGACGGGTGGTACAAGGACTTCGAAGAGAAGGAAACGCCTGCGATGCCAGTCTCCGGCCGGATGGGCGACTACCTGCTAACGAAGTCTGACAACATGGACTGGTGGAAGGAATGCGTCGGCGAGTACGGCAAGGCCCGTGCCATGCAAAAACATCCATCATACGTCTGGATGGTTTTACCTCTCTCCGCTTGCCGCCTGAGGCAAGCCATGCTGCAATTAGGGCTCGCTCCTGGCCTTTGCATTCCGCTGCCCATTGGTGCATAAGAATCGTGGGAGAGGCCCGTGGGATTAGTCTTCCCCGCTCTCCGTGATGAGCCGTGGGTTGCATCTGCGTTGCTTTGAATTTCTTGTCTTGTGCACTATTGCGGTGTGCACCCGTGCAGTCGTCTTGTTTCTAAGTGGCGCTCTGCTTAGTATGTGTTGCCCAGTCGTTCAAAGCTTGTAAAAGACAGACCGTAGAAGTCAGTAAATCAGGTTGAGAGCTTCCCAAAAGGGTGGTGCTTCCCTGAAAATCATGCACGGCAGCCCTGACAGAAAAGAGTGGCTCGGCGATTGGAGCTCCGCCGAGTCCTACGGCCCATCCCCACAGCGGGATCCCTGGCCGCGGGCGGCTAGTAGTCACCAGGCGAACGCCCCCTCCACCACGCGCTAATCCTCCTCCCCCTCCTGCCACGAGGCGCCCGCGGGCGAGCACCCGGCAGCGCCCGGGCCACCGCGCGGGACGGCCGAGAGGCGGCCGAGGCAGGGCCGCCCACGATCTGATCCGATGGCGTTCGATTTGAGTCGGGCCTGTCCCCCATACAGGGGGATTTTCGACGAAACAAAAGGTACCCCAAAAATAGCAAAAAATAGTCCAAACATTGTCTGGGGACTATTTCTTGAGTATTGTTTGACCTTTTGGGGGTATTTTCGGGGTATTTGTCATTTTTCGTCGAAGCTATCCCTGTAGGGGGACACGCTCGACAGAACGTTCGGTGCGCCAGCCGGGGCCGCGCTTCGGGGCGGCGGGTCGGCGGCGCGAACGCGCGAAGAGCGCGTCGCTTTCCGCGCGGAGCGCGGAGCGCGAGGACGCGTGCCCCCATCGCGAAATGTTCTTAGAACATTTCTGGCGGAGCCAGTCTTGTGTTATCACATCGGCTTTCTGTTCTGAGACCATTGTGTTTGTTATTAGAACATTGTTTGGTTCTCAAAGCATTTCGTGGTAGGACTATGGGAATGCCGGGACGGTCGGTCCCTGCTCAACTCATCGTGCCCCCATCGCCCCCTCGCTGCTTCTCCTCTGGCCAGGCGCGTCCCCGCTCTGCAGGCCCTGCCTGCCAGGAGGGGAGAAGCACACGAGCTCTCCCCGCCCGGCCTCGTCCGCCCCTCTCGCGCTCTTCTCTCCGTTCGTCTGGGGGCAGGGAAGCCCGGCATCGCTCGGGCGTGTGCATTGTTTTCCTCGGCGAGGGCCATCGAGGAGCATCCTCGCAAACTGGAGCATGTACATTACCAGTGGCGGGTGGTGTTTCAATCCCACGGCTTTTTTGAGGGTCGGGGACGACGTCGCGGTGGTGTGGTGCATACTGTTCCCCCGTTTTTCCAGGGAAACAACGAACAATGCATACACCGGGATGCCGTATACACCAGAATCCGTTTTCTGGTGCGAATCTCAGTGCGGGACCGGAAAAACATAGGTATATAAACTTCGGTTCCTTACATCGAGGAGCATCCTGGATCATCGAGCCGCACAAGACGCACGAAATCGAACAATGCACGGTGAGTGGACGTCCGAGCGATGGCGACAAAGGGGTGTGCTGTAAGGGGTGTGGTGTCATTGTGATGTAAAAGGCGGATCTAGCGATGCTATTCATCGGCGATAACACTGCCATGTCTCTATTAGTGGCGAAGCGTCCTGGCTCACCTATAGGCCTACCAAACGATGTTCTAAGAACCTTTTGTGGCTTCCACGACATGTTCTTAGAACATCTCTGGCGGAGTCTCTTTTGTTTTCACACATCTGGCGTATGCTCTAAGACCATTGTTTTTGTTCTTGGGACATTTTGGGAGTTCTAAGAACATTTCGTGGTAAGACTATAGGAATGTCGGGACGGTCGGTCCCTGCTCAAAACATTGCCATTTCCGCGATTGGCACCACACCCCTTTGTGCCACACCACCCGGGGTATCAGATCGAGGCCAGTTCGGGGAGGGTGCGTTTGCTCTTCGTTCCGTTTGCCACACTCACTGGGCGCGCTCCATTGCTCGCAGAGTGCCTGCTCGCAGGCGTCCGGGCAAGAAAGCGGCTTCCTCTGCGTGATCTGTCGTAGAGCCCCCGCGGCGGATCCAGACCTTTTGCGAGCAGCTATTTTGCGAGTAGTGGAGCGCGCTTGTCGCCCTGCTGTCGGACCGAGGTATCAGCTCGAGGCCGGTTCGGAGAGGGTGCCCTGTAAGCTCCTTTTCTTAATCTATAAGCGTCGGGGGGGCGTCGGCCCCACATCGGCCCCCGTCGCGGGCGGCCACCGCGCGCCGCAGTCACCCCCGTCGCGGCGCGACGACGAGGCGAGGTTAACCCCCGTCGGGGGGTCCCCGGCCCAGCGCCCGCGCCTACATGGAGCCCAGCTGCCCGACGCAGGCCCACAGGGGCGTCGGTGCATGCACAGGCGCGGGGGAACGCGCGCGGTGACGCGCGCGGTGGACGTCTGGGGCGGGTTTTCGCTGGGGGCTTGGGAGCGTCGTCGTCGTCGCCGCCGCCGCCACCGTCATCGTCGTCGTTTTCGTCGTCGTCGTCGTTGTCCTCGTCGTCGCCGTCGTCGTCGTCTTCGTCGTCGTCGTCAGTGTCGTGGTCGTCGTCGGGTGGGGGGGGCGTGCAAGGGTGTCGCGCGGGGGGGGGTGTCTCGTGTGTCATACTCGGGGGGGGGGGCGGCGGCGTGCTTTGGGGATGGGTTAGGACGTGTGCTTTGGGGCAGCTTCCTGCTTTCGCCCCCCAGGGCGCACGTGGTGCCAGTCCGCCCCCCCGTTCTTATTCACAGCGGCGGTGGAATGGTCGCATTACTTCTGCAGCAGGCTATGCCCCCTGCTCTCCACATAATGATATCTAAACTATCATTCGGTGTCCTTAGATTCCGTACCAGGGCCACCGCCTTGACCTCTCCCGTTGTTTTTGTTGTGTTTGTTAATGTTCGTCAGTTTTTCTTATTGGTTCCCATTCCAGATCACTGTTCCTCCCCATTTCCACGTCAAAGCATTGCCCTCTACCCCCCTCCTGATCATCATCATCATCATCATCATCATCATCATCATCATCATCATCATCATCATCATTATCATTATCATTATCATCATCATCATCACCATCACCATCGCCATCACTATCACCATCACCATCACCATCACCATCACCATCGTCATCATCATCATCGTCATCATGGTCATCATTATCATCATCATCATCATCATCATCATCATCACCATCATCATCATCATCATCATCATCATCATCATCACCACTATCATCACAATCATCAACATCACCATCGTCATCGTCATCAGAATCACCATCAACATCATCATCAACAACATCAGTGTCAGCATCACCAACACCTTCACCATCATCATCATCATCATCATCCTCGTTTTCATTATCGGCGTTATCGTCAGCAGCATTATCAGCATCATCATCCTCGTTCTCATCTTCCTTGCTATTATTATCATCATTAACACCACCAGCAGCAGTAACAGCAGCATCAACAGCAGCGGCATCATCACCATCATCATCACCATCATCAGCATTTTCATCACCATCATCATCATCATCATCATCCATATCATCATGATGATACTCATCATCATCATCATCATCATCAGTATCATCGCCGCCATCATCATCACCGTCATCGTCATCGTCACCCTCGTCATCATCGTCACCATCTCAGCAGCATCATCATCAGCATCAGCATCATCATCATCATCAGCATCATCGTCGTCGTCTTCACCTTCATCTTCATCTGCATCTTCATCTTCATCATCATCTCTCTATCTTCATCATCAGCATGAGCATCACTATCGTCACCATCACACCTCTCGTCATTTCCACCCTCTGTACCCTCAGCGTTCTCTTCCCTTTCCTCATCCTCCTTCTCCAGAGGGAGCCTGCGATGAATGGCAGAGGAGCGGAGACCGCGAACGGCGAGGGGGGACTGCTGTTCCTCCCCCCTCCTCGTCTGACAACGCACGTCCTGCATGGCACCTCGCCGCAGTTTCCACACCGCGCCGCATGCGCCGCGCGCGTGGCACATCCGTGGCCTCCTCGTCCCGCGGGCCGTTCCGCACCCGGAGCGGCCCGCTCGTGCAGGGGGCTCCGCTCGCCGGATCGGTCGGCTCCGCTCGCGGTGCCCACGCTCCAGGGCCTCCTCCTCCTCCTCCCCCTCCTCCTCCTCCTCCTCCTCCTCCTCCTTCTCCTCCTCCTCTTCCCCCTCCTCCTCCCCTTCCCCTTCCCCCCTCTTTGCCCACCTCCGTCCCTTCCTGGCCTCACGCGCGGGCCGGTGCGCGCGCGCCCGTGCGTGCCACGGCAGGCAACGCCCCCTGGGGAGCCGACGTCGCCGAGGCACCGCCGACGTCGCCGAGGCACCGCCGATAACGCCGGCGATGCATCGTCGGCGATGCGGCGCGGTCCTGCGACCCCACCTGCTCGGACCCCTATCCAGGAGGCCTCTGCCACGGTTCCCCGTTGCCGCTCCCGACGCCCGCACGAGATCCCGCCAGGCTGGAAGTCGGATGAGATCTACGGCTTCGTGAAGCTGAAGGTGGGCAAGGAGTGATTCTGCAGCGATTCTTGGGAGCCTCGTACACCGTACACCCTTTTCATGTCGCCCTCGGCGCCGATTGGCGTCGTATAGCGTCTGGTAACCGATGAGATGCCACAGATTTAGCGTCGATTTAGTGTCGATCTAGCGTAGACCTTTAGCGTCGATGTAGCGTCGATCGGCGTCGACTCGCAAGAGCCAACAAGATGGTATGGGAGGCTCCCCATGTGCTGGCAATGTCCATATCCATGTGCAGTGCGCCTCCCACTTTCTTGGAAGGGGCGTTGCAATGCCGAGGCGCACTTCATATGAATACAGATCCAGCCTCTAGGGGCTAGGCGTTTATCCGTCTC